TAGTCTCTCTGGATAAAAAACATGAATTACCTCCCAGAAAATGCTGTCGTCATTGTGATTGCCGATAACAGAAGGTTCCCCCAAGTCAGAAGTCAGGGAAGACTGATAAGGCTAGACAGTGTTTACTCTGAGAAAGAGCTTATTAAAGGCTCTAGAGAAAAAATGTTGCTCAAAGTCTCCTCAAGCCAGTCATTGTTGTGGGTATGGCTGCGCGTGCTGAGTTACAGGAACACCGGGACATGTCTTGCCGCCAGTCAGGGAATAGTGCACACTGATTGGTTTCCAACCCTCGCGCAGCCTAGCGCGGCTGTGGCAGACAGCGTGCGCGGCGTTCATACTGGATCGAACAAGACCGCGTGTGAAATAGACTGTCACGCGCTACTGCGAGGCTTGGAAATCGAAGAAAAGATGACTCAGCACAGTGATGCTGATCACGGACTCCCACCATGCTGTTACAAGAAACAGATCATATGGTTGTGATGGGTAAAGCGAAATATCAACTCGTTTTGTATTCACTAGGCAGTGTGCACTTTTGTGTCAGAAGTATTCAAAATCCCCAAGATTCTTCGTGAACATGCTTACCTGAGATACTACGATCCAAGCTATGGCATCCGCGGGAACCGACGCGCTCCGCAACCCTTGTCCACTGGTACGGGCGAATAGTATTCCCGCTGGACTACTCAACTGGGAACAGATCCTCAGTATTACATGCTGGAATGTGCGAACACTTCTGAATCCTGGTACCCAAAGTCTGGCGGCGTACAGTCTTCGTCAATACCAAGTGCATGTTTTCTGGCTGTCCGAAGTCCGAATCCACGACTCAGGCGCCCGAATAATAAAAATCCCTATAGTCGATTCGCACCTCCTCCTGTATCATAGTGGCTTAAGCGAATCTTCTGGTAGACACAATGTGGCTATTGCCTTCTCGGAACAAGCAAACCGTTCACTACTGGCATGGAAACCAGTCAATGACCGGATGGCTTACATTCTACTGAAGGGCCACTTTACGAACATTTCTGTCGTGTGCACCAAGATCAGCTGCCGAACAAAAAAATAGGGAAGACTTCTACTCGCAGCTGTAGGAGCTAGTTGAAAGACCTTATTATTTTATCCGCAACAGCACCAGATCCTATAAACGACTCCAGATGTTTCCCTTGTGTTGGTACCACTCTTCATCACAGACGTGTCTGGAATCTCAGGCGAGTGAAAAGTATTTGAAGCCACATTAGGGATTTACTACAGTCTAATTTTCGTT